AGCCACCTTCCCGCCGCAAAGCCCCGCCGCTGCCCGCGCTGCCCGTGCTGTGCCCCCGGGTCCCCTGCGCGGGGACTCCCCGGGGCAGCCCCCCGCCCCGCACCCCGTCTCTGCCGCAGCCCCCGGGTCCTGGCGGCCCTGCGTTCTCGTGGGAGGGTCCAGGCAGGGTGCGGGGGGCGCCGACGAAAGGCAGTTCCCCCTCCCCAGTGCCTGTCCCGACCTGCTGCGAATACCAGGAATAGCAGCGGGGCTGGCGGCAGGGCTGGGCGTGCAAGCCCCTGCACACACATACACACACACACAAACACCTCGCAGGCTCCTCGCCTGCCTTCACACCTCCGCGGCTGCCTCTGAACTGGAGAAGGGGTTTTACATCCTGTGGACATTTGGCAGCAGGTCCACCCCAACACCCCAGTGCCTCTCAGGAGTGGCTGTGGATTCAATAGGCTCCTCTCCCTGTGTCAGTCCCTCATTGGGCCCAGACAGTGACAAGAAAGGGGCATGGGGAAGCCCTACCACATCCCAGGGATGTGTCTCTGGCACAAAATAGCCAGGGTCCAGAGAATAGCTATAGGGTCCAGGCAACATGGACCCCCCCCTCAAGGGCTGAACCTCATCAGCATTCACAAGCAGAGCTGTGTGATGCCGGGGACACTGGCAAGAATGCTGCCTGATGGGTGCTGCTGCCTGGGCCCCAGGCAGTCCCAAGGCAGGGGCCCTCTTTGGGACAGAGCCCATCTACCCAAAGGGATGGGCTGGAAGCACCTTGGCAAGGCTTTGCTGCACACCATGCCAGCACACGGGAAGCAGAGGGTGTTTCTCAGAGAAGCTCCTTCCTTCCAAGGTTGAATATGAGTCAGGTTTTGGAGCGACTTTAATTACTGCTGGATCGATAGGCTCAGCATGGCCAAGCAAAATCCAATTGCAGCCCCGGGGGCATTCCTGCTCAGCCCTCCCCTGCCTGCCCAGCCCTCCCTGCCTGCCTCTGGGGAGGCATATGCTCCCTGGCTCTGGATGGCCCCCAACCCCACTGGCCCAGCACCCACCCACGAGGTTAGACCCCCTCCTGCACATGGAGCCAGCACCCCACCTGCTCAGGTCTGGTAGGGGACATGCATTTCTGGGTCAGGGCAGCAGATGGAGATGCCCCAGCACTGCCTGGGGGAACCCACACACCCCTGAGCCCCTTTCCACACCATGCATGGAGCAGGTCTGTGGTCTCCAGACCCACCTTGCACTCTGGGTACAAGTCTGGAAGCCCCCAGAAGGTCAGAGCAGCCTTGGCAGTATACAGACAGCCCCTCTTATGCCCAGGGATGGGAGGGGGGCACTTGCCACCCACTCTGTGTCCCCACCACTGCCTGTTCCCCCCTCCCAAGCCACCCTGGCTTGGCCAGGCACTGCATAAATAGCTGTTTGTGTCTCTGCTCGGCCTCTGCGTGGGAAATAATATCGGCTGATGGAACATAATGCCCTGCTTCACATGTTCAATTTTATCATTTTCCGAGGCAGGCAATCTTCGTTTAAAGCTGAATGGGCTGGGGAATGTTAATGAAGCGCCGGCGCTGCTCTGCACCACGCTTTATCTCTTCGAGAATAATTTGGGTGAGCTCGGAAATAGAGTTCCCAGTCCCAATTCAAGTGGCGGCAGCACCGCATGCCGATAAAAGTGTAATTCCTGGCCAGCGCATGGCCCTGAATACATGACAACTTAACTCTTGGAGCCCCGCTGGGATGGTGCTGCCTGCATCTGCCTGCTTTGGGCCTGTCTGACCTGCATGCCCAGCACCAGCCTGGGTGCTCAGCCCAGGCAGGATAGGGTCTGTGACTCCCACTCACCCCAGCCACAGAGCAAAATGTGTGGGCCAGGGAAGAGAGATAAGAGGGCAGGAGCAGAGCTGGAGGAAATCAGTCTCCCTGGACAGACAGGACCCCACAGGCAGATCTTCGTCAGTGCCAGTCTGCTGGGGGCTTTACTGGAAGAGGGATGCCCCAGATCCAGGGATGACCATGCACTGGGGTCAGGGAGGAATGAGGAGAGTGAAGGGAGTAGGGGCAGGGCTGGAGTACCAGGCAGGAGGGAGAGAGAGGGGGAGATAGGTTCAAGAAAGAATCCCATCCCAGACAAACTAGCAGAGCTGGGCAGGTGTTTGCAGGCCTAGGCACACAGCTGAGTGAGGGACTCTGCCAGGAAGGGCCCTAGGCCCTGGTGATGACTGAGGGGAGCAAGGAGAATTTGTAGGAGGTGTTTGTTGGTCCTGGAAGGAGAAATTCAGGTTAGCAGGAGTAGGCAGCTTTGGCCCCAAGGGGAAGGCCTTAGGTGGTCTACCTGGTCTCGATCTGAGCCCAGCCATGTTCTGTCTCCAGTTCCCACCAGCCAGTGGCAGTTCCAGTCTCTAGTTCTCCCTTGCAGCAGGTCCCTGCAGCAGGTCCCCAGGGTGACCCTGGGGTCCTGCCTGACCATCACCATACTGCACCCAGCTCCCATGGGTCCCAGAAGCAGTAGATGGGCAGCACAACACCCTCAGAGTGATGGTCCCTCATGTCCTGGACCACTCCACTCCAAAGATGCTGAGAAGGGGGCACCTTGGCCTAGCGAGGGGTCAGCAGAGCCACTTGGGCACCAGCCTGGGCCACCTCCGGTGGGGCAGTAACAGACCCTTTCCCTGGGAATGCGTGGGGCGGGCACGTTTCCAGCACCGTTAATCAGGGCTGCAAGAGCTGGGATTAATGTGCACTTCAAGGCTCTCCAGTCCCAGCTGTGATCCAGCCCTCTGCTCTCAGCCAGAGCCGCCTCCACGCGCTGAATTATCAGCCTGAGTAATTAAGTGGAGAGCTTTGTTTTAATGCAGACATCTGATGCCTTCGCACCGAGGAGCACAACAACTGTCGCGGGTGTTTATGCTCCGTGCAACACATCTGGCTCACAGGGAGAGAATCCATCTCCACCACTGCGTAAGATTAAAGGGAATGCGGCCTGGGTGCTGAGAGAGGAGGGATAGCTCAGCAGCCAGCATGGTGGGCAGGACCCATCCCGGAACATCACCTCACCAGGTCCTTGCATCCCACCAGGAAGACTCTGGTCCAGGACTGCCTGGCAAAGCACCTGTCACCTCCACTCCTCAACACACAAGGCAGCACAACACATTGCGAGATGAGGGATAATTACAAGCTTGGAGATAAATGGAAATAGGGCAAAATAAAACACGGGTTTATCAGAAGTAGATGGTGCCTGGCTCACCTGATACCTGCTGCTGATAAGGGAGCTGGTTATGCGGGGAGGAGGGATGCAGATCTCAAAGCAGCAGCTGTGCCATGCAGAAAATTGTTGCTTTGCACAGATTAGGGGATTAGCACCAGTGCAAGGAGCTGGAAAGAGGCTGGTGCGGGAAGTAGCTAGACTGCAGGGAGAGAGAAGATAGCATATAGGGGAGAGCATCCTGCTGGGACCACTATGGATGCGCCTCATTTAATAGCTTCCTCTGTTGCCCGAAAAGTGGGGGCTGTGGGGAAATCTGCTGATGCCACACAAACACAGATCTTTTCTCTCTGCTTGGCCCCATAACCATTGTGCTTTGATCGTCACACCCACCTGGGATGCCTGAATAGTCTCATGGATTTAGTGGTTTTCTTCTGGGGCAGCTTGGCTGGCCGGGCACCAAAGGTGAGCTGTGCCATCACGAAGGAAGCTTTTCCCCCAGCTTCCTCCAGGATCTCACAGCACCCAACACTTTGTGGGTGCTGACAGCAGAAGGATTCCCTCACTCACAGCCTCGTGGCAGGGCTGTTTCCATCAGAGAGCCTGCCATCACCTCCAGCACCTCCAGCCCCTGTCTGCTTGGCACTGCTGGACAGGGAAAAGGGCTGTAGGGGACAGAAAGAGGGACTCCTCAGTCAGGGGAAAAGAGACTCCAGCTGGGAGTGTAACTACTGCATGTGGTGCTCCCAGTGTGAATATCAAAGGAACCCCGCTGGGAAAAAACTGTTTTCAAGGAGAAACACTCCAGGCGGTTTCCAGCAAAAAGCACATTCTTGGCTGCTCCCCCATTGAGCCAAACATGTCAAAATTTGGCAGGGGACCTCTGACCCTGTACTGATCTGGTCGAGGAGCAAATGCCATTGTGGTTGAACAAAGCTGCCTTCCCGAGGCTCATCTGGCTCCCTGTGGTGTCGAGCAGCTGGGGCTGGCACAGCTCTGCTGCTCAGCAGGGCTGCTGGTGGGAACCACGTGCTGGGAGATGCTGTGCCTGGACATAGGGACACTCGAGAGACTTTGGCAAAATCTGGTGACAAAAACAGAGCAAGGGGAGTTTGGAGGAGTGGCACAAAACCTTCCAGCTCTCTGGCAGCCTGGGGTAATTTGAGGCTGGGAAATGTGAGCTGAAGCAGCAGGGGCCACACAGCCACCTCCGGGCAAGCAGGCTGATTTATTGCCTGCATGAGCCGAAACTGCAGCCCATGCTGGGCTGAGAGGCAGGACCAGGTCTCCTGCCTGGAGACACTCATGGCAGAAGAGCAGAAATGCTGTGCAAAGTAGAGTCATGGGAACAGCTTGAGGCATCCTATCCAGTTGTGCCTAGCTGGGCATGACCACTGCCCACGCTTGATGCCACTTCCCAGCCAGAGTTCTGCAAGCAGAGCCCATGGCAAGAGCAGAAAAGTCCTGAAGCTGCAGAATGGCCCTGGGCACATAGAGGTGGTGGCCCCAAACAGGTGCAGTTTGAGGCACAAGTCTTTTTATAGGCACTGTCTCAGGGTGGTGCATCCAGATAATCCAGATGCAACACTAGTGCTCCTGTCACAGCTGCCCTGGGAGACAGGTCATGGAGCAGGAGCTGTGGCACATTCACCGGAATGGAAGAAGAGCAGCTGCTCTGTCAGTGGTGTCACAGGATGCCACCATGTGTTCCACTTGTGTCCAAGGCTGCCCCATCTCCCTCGTCTCCTTAGCTGCACCCAGCCCAGACAGGGTATGGCTGTCCCCACCAACTGGAATTAATTCCCTGAGATACTATATCAAATGTTTTAATAAAAGGCTGATATATCACACCTCTTGTCTCCTCACCATTAATTTATTTAGCAATTTTACCCAAAAAAGGTAATCAAGTCAGATCGGGCAGATTTATTCCATGTGAGCTCCAAGCACATCTTTATTACTCCCTGTTCCCCTGCCCTCGAGGTCCTCAGAAGCATTTTTCTCTTAATATTTGCTCTATTATGTTGCTAGGAATGAAGTTCTGTTGATGGGCAGTAATTGCCTGAACTGCCCTGCCTTCTCATGATGAAGATTGGTACCTTACCAGCAGCTGCCTTCGTGTTCTCCTGTCCTTCCTCACAACATTATTGACTAGGAAAGTTCATTAAAGACACTTAATGACTGCAGCCATGCCAGCCCAGCCCACAGTGCTAACCCTTCCCATGGTTTCCCTTGGTGGCTGCTGGCAGGAGGAGGCATCTCAGGATGTTTTCTACACTTTTGAAGCCAGGTAGGTGCCTGAGCCATTTCTAAAACCCTGTTGACTCCCTTCACTAGAGGATACTGTCCCTGCCTGAGGGCTCTTCTCCCCCTTGTTTTTGGGGATTGACCCCTCAGGGCAGGCTATATTGGCCGGGCAGTGCAGGGGAAGTCTTGGTCAGCAGTAGTGGAGAGCTTTTGGGGGGTCCTGGGAGCATCCCTGAGGCTCCTCCATGCCAGTGTTTGCTTTACTGCCCACTGACCCAGCACCAGCAGCCTCCAGAGGCAGGCTGGCATTGAGCCAAGCATGATGCTGGGATTAGGCACTGCCTCCTACAAATGAGCTGTTAATTATCATAATCTGGTAATTGAGAAAAATCTAATTATGCAAAGCTAATGGATTTAAAGCTGTGCTGGGGAGCACAGGCCAGGGGAGCACAGCAGCTGGGCAGGGCCAGTGTTGCCAGCCTGTGGCTACAGAGACTGCCAGGGTCTTGCAGTGCCTTTCACTTCACTCCAAAGCCCTGTGGGCACCCAGTCAGGTCCAAACATCTGCAGGAGAGAGCCCAGCTCTCTCTCCCCCTTCCAGGCCCACAGGGCCTGGGCACCACCTCCTCCCTGTGCCCAGGCATCCTCTGATTTCCACATCTTCCCTCCTTGGACGTCCTGGGGAGCAGAGTGGAGCCCCCTATCCTAGCTCGAGTGCCCTCCCTGATCCCAATCTGTTCACTCTGGCCTCAAAGACATGGCTCTGGTCTGCGCCTCTGCTCTCTGCCACTCTGCCACTGCCAGCGAAACAGTGCTGTAGGATCTGCCAGGCAAGTGCACGTGTGGCGAGCCCAATAGGGAAAGGCATTATCTTTTACTAGATAAACTGAGGTAGTTCAGAAAGGGAGGCAAGCTTTTGGACCCATGAGTGCTTCTCAGTGCTCACAAGCGTTTCCTTCAGCTTCAGTGCTGGCCTCATAAAAAAATTCGTGTCTTCCTGCACACTGTGAGGGCAAGGGATGCTGAGCAGTGCCAGCCCTTCCATTGCATCAGATCTCCTCGTCTCAAGGTGGTGCCACATTGGAGAGCCTGGCAACATCCCTGTGGTGGCATGCAGGTGATACCAGCACTCAGCACTCCCCCGAGGTCTGTGTCACTGTCCCAATGTGCTCTACCACCCCTTGCTCTGTGCTCATGGGAGCCTGGCCCCTGGCAGCTTTTGGGGAGCCTTGAAGAGGTGCTTGAATCCAAGGGTCCAGGAGCTGTGGCAAGAGTGACACTCAGCATCTCGGTTCCTCGGCCAGCCTGGATGCAAGGCTGGTTCAGGGCTTGGGGTTCCCCCATATCCCCATGGACAAAGAGCTGTTGTCCCCTAACACATGCTTGCCCATGCACCTCTCCTGAGCCCACGGCCCTGCTCAGGTGGCTCCTATATATCCTGGCAGTGGGCTGTGAAGAATTTACCGATTTGCCTGTCTTCCCCTCCCTCGTGAACCCATGCTAAGTGCACAGAGGTGGTGGAAGTGAGCAAGACTCCAACTAATTGCACGCAACCCCGGGGGACATGCGGTGAGAGTGCCCTGAGCTTTCCAGGATGTTTCAGCCTCTGGCTCCAGTTCCTGCAGGATGTGGTGATCACTAAGTACATCTGTGATCTCAGCACTCAGTGAGCTTCCCGCTCGGGGCAGGGTGTGAGTGGCACCACACTGCATCAGTCCTGCCTCAGCACTGCTGCACATCACCTGCCGCAAGCCCAGCCCGCCCTTTGCAGTGACGGCCATCCATTCCTCAAATCTCCTTTTGGCACTCTGGACTCAGTGGGGAGAGGAAGAGCTGGGCGGCAGCATGTGGCTGCAGGAAGCCCAGAGGCCTCCCCCACACCCCTGGGGTGACTCCTGGTCCTCTGCAGACCTTCCTGCAGGGGATTGCCCTGACAGGCGCCCAGCACACGATGTCCCGGCCCCACAGCAGCGCCCATGCAGCCTGGAAGAGTTTGCCGGCCATTCCACCCTCCACGGCATCCAGCACATCTTCCGGCACCGGCGCTATACTGCCCGCAACCTGCTGTGGCTGCTGGCCTTCCTGGGCTCACTGGCCCTCCTCATCCATGCCTATGCCAAATGTGTGGGCTTGTACTTCCAGTACCCCCACAGTACCCAGCTGGAGGAGGAGACAGAATACAACAAGATCTTCCCTGCCATCACGCTCTGCAACCTCAATCCTGCCCGCTTCTCACAGCTCTCCAGCCATGATCTGCACTGGGCAGGGGAGATGTTGGGTCTTCTAGATGGTGCTGGCCGGCCCCTGGTGCCAGAAAGCGCTGAGAGGAGCAGGTTGGAGGCTTTGCTGGGGACACTGGGTATGAGTGAGGAGGAGAAGAACCGTCCCTTCCACCTGGAGGAGTTTTATGAGCGTGTGGGCCACCAGATGGACCTGGGAGAGATGCTTGTCCGCTGCACATTCGGCAACGAGGACTGCAACAGCAGCGACTTCCAGACAGTGAGTGCCCAGTGGTGGGACATCCCAGGGGACGGAGAACATGGGCATGGCCCCTGGGACAGCACCCACAGCCTGGGGGTGCTGACAAGAGAATCCTAGCCCCCAGTGACCAGAGATCAGGGAAGGGGAAAGATGCCAGGCACCAGTTTTCACAGACTGTGCCTTGGGTGTATTGGAGCTGGAGCAAAGCCCCATGCGGGGCAGGAGTGCACTGGGTTGGGTTGGGGGTGCTCTGGCACTGCTTGTGCAGTGAAGCCAGGCTGAAAGGCACAGAGAAAGGGTGGGATGGGGAGCTCAGCCTTGGGATTTGTCCAGCTTAAGTCAGCCCTAACAAAGGCAGGCTGTGACCCACAGCCTTGCTCCAGCATGCCTGGGAAGCCTGGCCCTTTACCCCTTCCATGGGCTCTGGGGGAAAGCCAGGCTCTTGAGGGCTTTCAGAGGGAGGGAAGGTAAATCTGGGTCTGCAGGGTTTTGAAAGGGAGCAAAGCATATCCCCTCCTAACAGAACAGGAGCCGGGAGATGTGTTGAATCCAGGCAGTAGCATAAGTGAGCAGAGAAAGGCACAATCCTGCCCCCCAGCTAGGGTAGGTGCCTGGGACACTGGTACAGGGAAGTGGATGAATCCTGGTGTTATCAGAGCCACAAGAAGTAAAGAGTTCATGAAAGTCCCAGTGATGGATGGCGCACAATCACCCTTGACACAGATGCTTGGTACAAGCTATCAGGATTGCAGCTTGGTCCAGGGGGAGGGAGAGCCACAGCCCTGACACAGGGTTCCAAGCCATCCTGGGGTGGGAAGAGCTGACACACAGGGGCAGGGGCCAGTGCCTCACACCAAGAGCTGGCACGCCAGCCCTGACATGCCTTTGGCTGTTGGGCAGTCTGGGGACTGCAGCCTCCCCGGGCAGTGCGTGGGTGCCCACTGCTACTGCACTGGGCTCTCCCAGCTGGCAGCTGCTCAGCTTGGCAGATGCAGAGCTGTGAGTCTGGAGGGTCTCTAATTTAGCGTGATGTCTCCGCTCATTGCCCTAATGAGAACAAAGCAGGGCTGCCACACTATACCCTGTGATCAGGTGTTGGGCAGCTGGTGGGGGGCAGAGCCATGTGCCAGGAGGGTGATGCTGGTGAGGGGGGACCAGCAGCCACTGCATGAGTCAGCTCACTCAGGGCCGTGGCTGCTCTCACAGACAGGATCCTGCCACTGTGCCACCTTCCATAGTCTTCCCATTGGCTGCAGAGACTTCAGTGCCCATCCAGCTGTGTCAGGGTTTGTGTGTGTCACCCCAGTGCATTAGGCAGGTGTTGAGCAGGGTGCAGGCAGAGCAGAGGCAGTGCCCAAGAGGGAGCCATCTCCTTCCTCCTTTCCTCTTTGCTCCTGAGTCAACAGCTGAGGATTACTGGGCTGTAAACAAGGGGATCAATGGTGCTGATGGGAACATTTCCTGGTAATAGCTTCGGTCTGTAAAACACAAGACAGGGGGAGGAAGGGGAGGCTCTGCTCTTGCAGCAGTTAACTCTTCCCACTTGCAGCCATGCACTAGCTTCTTGGTGCTGAGGGCTTGGGCTCACTGGACCTGGGCTGAGTGCTGCTGTGCCTTGGCTTGGGCAGGCACCCTGAGCTGCTGGTCACACAGCAAAGTCAATGCCTGCGGAGTGGTGGGATGCCAAGCTGACGATACTGGAGGAGGCATTCTGACCTCTGTGGCTGTGAGAAGGCTGGCCTCTGCTGCTCAGAGATGGTTGTGAAGAGGCGTTATCCCAAGGAAATGCTGCCATCAGTGCTGGGAAATGTTAATGCCATTGTAGAAGGATGCTCAGTTCTGGTTTGTGATGCATGGGAAGACAGCGCTGCTGCAGGCAGGTGGAGAGGTGGGAACAATTGCTCCTCTGGCTTCTGAGCAGGGCAGAGAGTGCCTTTTTGGCAGCCCAGACTGCAGATCTTCAGACAGGTGAAGAGGCTTCTTTCTGCTGTTTGCAGAGAAGGATGCCTACGTAAAGGGTTTCCTTAACTTTGTCGAGCATCACCCTGAGCATCTTTACTGGGATCGTCAGCCCTGGCTGTTCTCCTCACTACCATCCCTCTAGGAGCAATGAGTACCCCAGTAGGCTCCAAGCTCAGCCACCAGCCCAATCCTGAGCTCAGATCCCCTTCCCCTGCCATAGTTGCATAGCTTGCTGCCAGCCACCTTGGTGCCCATCTCCATGCACAGGCAGGCCTAAACACCCGCTAGCCCTGGCACACACACCTGGCTCTCCCACTGCCCCAGAATCCGTGCCTGTGTGTGCCCTGCCTTGGCGGGACTCCCCAACTCTGGTGCTGCCCCACAACACTGCCCTGCTGTCACAGCCACATCACTGCATGTCACATGCTGTCTCTGCAGCCTGAGCAGGACAGCAGGTGGCAAGTGCCTGCCACCTGTTCCTCAGTGGACGCAGCCTGGTCATGGTGCCCTCCACCCGCCTTGCTTGGGGCTGGCAGATAAATGTGAGCCTATTTTTATCTGCTCCCCCACAGGGCGGCTGTTCTTTCCATTCAGATAAGCTGATGTACCTCCATTTTCCATGCTGCTGGGGACCAGGGTTAATCTCCCTGAAATTCACTTCCTTGCTTCCTGGAGCTTCCCTCCCTGGGTCTGGGCAGTGGGGGATCAGGAACTAATCCACCCAAAACGAATCAGGCTGTGATGGGCTCTCAGTGTCACAGCGCATCAGCTCCTGAGGGTATCACCTGCAAGTGGGGAAGGCCAGCTGCCCACTCCAGGATGGCAGCAGCTGCCTCCTTCCCATGGCTCAGCCAAGCTGCATGAGGCCATCCAGGCTACAGAAGGTGGAGAAGGCACTGGGGTGGAACGGGGATGTGCCATGGGGTTTGTACAGTGATGACTCATTGTGGGGCTGGGGGCACAAGACTTAGAGGAAACAGCATCAGTGCAATGTGTAGCCAGCAGCACAGGTAACAGACAAAACAGACAAAACACCCCTGGTGGGCACCATCTGTGTAATTATACCCGTTTCCAGTGGTTTTCCTGGCCAGCACAGTATGAGGCACTGCTGAGGGGCTGGTGTGACGGCCGCAGACATGCACTGAGTGATGGTGTGTGTAATAGCAGGGCTGGCAGGTAATAGCAACCTTGGAGTCCATCAATAACTCCACTCCCTGATGGATGCTGCCCTCCCCTCTCCTGGCACAGCCGGCAATTAGTTACAGCAACTCTTGCCACTCTCCCTACCGTGACAGCACAGGTAGTGTTGGGGTTTTTGACTGGACCAGGAGGTGGCTGTGCAGGTCATCCAGGTACCCTCACCTTCACTCCCAACTTTGTGCCTCGAATAAGAGCAGATGGTTTAATGTTCTATTAATAGTTTTACCCCCTTTAATTATTAATCAAAATTACAGCCAGAGCTGCAGCTTCACAGGCTTTCTCAAGAATCAGTCTGGGATCCTGCACAGTGGATTAGGGGCAGAGGGGAGTTGGGGGGAAAGCCAGCCATGGCATCGGGCTGGGCATGGGGGTCAGCACAGTGTGGGGTTTGCTGGGCACCCTGCTCACCTCCTGACTCTGTGGAACTGTCTCAGCACAATCCTCTCAATGCTTCTACTCCGTGAACAGCCCAAGCCCTTCCTTCCTGGCTGGCAGGTGCCAGCATGCCCTGGGCAGCCGGCGGGGACAGCACCGCTATCTCTGCCACCCAGCCACTGCCTGCCTGCTCGCACCCAGCTGCCTGTGGGAGCATCTGTGCTCCAGTTCACCTCCGTGAATTATTTAAAGCTTCCCTGGGTGCTGCAGGAAGATGATAACATCATAACTGGGGATGGATGGGAAGCTGGGGACATGGGGCAGCCATCAGGGAGCTGCTTCTGCCTGCGCTTAGGGTCTGTGCCACCACTGGATCGTCCTTCTGCAGACAGGCTGGCTTTGGGGACAGGACTGACCTCTCCAGAGGAGCTGGCATGGGGCTGCAACCTTGGAGCTGGAGAGAAGTGACAGACACAGGAGAGGAGTGTGTTAGCCTCCCGTGAGCACCCAGGATTGTCCCCAAGGGTGCAGACTGGGAGCTAAGGCAGGCAGAGGCAGCAGGGCCAGACAAGGTGCCTCGGTGTGGGGGCGATGAGAGTGGAGGGACGCAGGTGGGGGGCCCCCGGCCCTCTCGAGTCTGATTGCAGATCCGCCTGGCAGGGGATGCGGAACCTGCCGAAATAGCAGATTTAATTATCTTCCGTGGAGCAGCGGGAAATCAGTGAGCAGGGAGGGGGTGGCGGGTGCACGATGCTGGGGCGTTGCAGAGGGGGGGTAACGAGGGCTCAATCTAGCAGGGCTGTGCCCCACACAGCCTCCAGCCCTACAGCAGCCACACACCACTCCTATGCTAAGAGCTCCCCTTCCCGCTTGCCCTATAGGA